GCCAAAACAGCAGTGCTGAGTGTGAGTATGTACAGTCACAACTAATTTACTGATAGATATGTACAATTGATATTTACAGTAAGATATCTAGGTTAATGTATGATATACAACAGACTTTATGGATTTAAATTACAAGTGATGGATAATGTACAGTAAGCTTATAAAACACTAGTGCAAAGGGATGAAACGGAATGAAATAATGCAGAATAAAAAGATAATAAGTAACAGTTCAATGGATGTAAATAGTGCAAAGATAAATATACAATATCTGCATATGAATAGTGTGCAAATTAATAACAGAGCAGTATTCTGTGAGTAGAGTACTGTATGTGCAAATTAACACTTCAGTATTACAGGTAACAGAAGTGGCCCTGGATAAGCTGTAGGCCTGTTAATCACCAGATCTGAAAGCAGAGTTGCATGCCTACAGCAGGAACTACACCTTCTTGTTCATCCATGGCTTCCGATTTTGGTATGTGGTGATCTGTTTCTGGGTTGTGACACTGTCAATGGTAGTGTTAATGTAGTCCAGCATAGAATAAGTGTAGGTGTCAATGTCCATGTAAGAGTCACAGGAACCCCAGGAGGCAAACATACTGCAGTCAGTGTGGTGAAACCTGTCTTGTAGTACAGAGTCTGCCCCCTCTGGCCACACTTTGATGCTTCTCATTGATGTCTTCACACGGCAGATGAGTGGCAAGTACTTGGGAAAGGGAAATAAAGAAAGGTGACCTGACTGTCCCAAGTGGGGGAGGGGGGTCACCTTGTATGCAGCAGCCATGTTTGTGTCAATCTGGGACCAGACTTTTATTTCCTCTGGTGTGGCAGGAAACATGGTGGTGGAATTTAGGGAGCACTGACTTTAAGTTGGAGTGATTAAAATCACCCACAACAATAAATGCAGCCTCTGGGTGTGCAGTATGTTGTTTGCTAATGGCTGAGTGAAGTTCGCTCGTAGCAAGCTTGGCATTAGCATCCGGGGCGATATAGGTTCGGATTATTATAGTCAAAGTTTATTCCCTAGGCAGATAAAATGGTCTACACTTAACCATAACAAATTCCAGGTTAGCTGAGCAGTGTTTCTCAGTGATGACAGAGTTCGTACACCAAGCTTTGTTAACATAAATGCACAATCCTCCACCTCTGGTCTTACCAGTCATATGCCGTTCTATCTGCCTGGAGTGTATAGAGCCCAGCTAGTTGGATAGCAGTGTTGGGTATGCTGCTGTTTAGCCAGGTTTTAGTGAAAATTATAATATTGCAGTCCATAAGTCTCTTACTGTTGATGATGCAAAGCCGTATTTTGTCCATCTTGTTCACCAATGACCGCACATTGACAATGAAAATGCTGGGTAAAGAGAGTCGATGTGGTGCTAACGTTTGGCTTATCTCTAACTCCTCTGCGCTTTCCATGCCTTTGTTTATGTTCGTGACATTGCCTGCAAGTGCTCTGCCTGGCCGGGTTGGGTGTGTAGGCTCTGGTGTTCTGGAGATTTCAGGGGTGAGTCGAAGATTGGAGATAAAACTGTTGGAGTGTGTAGACTGATATCCAAAAGTTCTTGCCGGGTGTAGGATATGAGGTAAAGTGCATGAACAGACACAAAATGAGCAGGAGAATCACTGCAAAATTGCAAAATCTGGGGAGACGCTGAGCCTCGTGTTGTACATGTGCCGCCATCTTGGTCCCTGGCGTGACAGCTTTACATTTGAAATCTTTTCTGACAGTTTGGAGGAGGCCTCAGAATTGCTGTGCACTAGTCTATGCTTTCATCCACTAGAAAAAAAAGCCACAGAATAGTTTTTTTTATTGAGCTGAGAAAAATGCATCTATGCAGCCAAGTGTGGAGGAAAGTGATTTATTGTCTGAGGTCAAATGAAAATTTCCAAAATGACATTTTGAAAATGTTGGTACTTTCTTTTTTCCTTGTTTGTCATAATGGAATAATGCCTCTCCATTTCATCAGCTATAACCTCTCTCCTCCTGCCATACAGTACAACTCACTAGTACAGCTTGGGCAGTCAGAGATGAACACAAGGAAAGATCAAAGTTTGAGATGATGACAGTGGGAAGTATGAAAAAATCAAGCTCATAAAGAAGATGGAAAATAATACAAGTTTATGTTAGTAAAAAAACAACAGTAAACAAAAAGATGTAAATAGACTGTATTTATATAGCGCATTTTTTCCACTGGGTGGAAAAATTACACTTGCCAAAGCACTTTACAGGAGATGATACACCATTCACACACCGATGACGACAGGCTGCCACACAATGGCGCTAGGC